ACACGTTAATAACTCAAATTCGCTAAAATATCGATAACGTTAGTTATGATAAAAGAGGGCAGTAAAGGTCTCATGCTACAGTACGTCTATGAATGCTACATTCAATACATGGAGATGGAATTCGAGGTCAAAAATGTAAACAAACAACTGTCATTGTCAAAATGACATACATAGACATAGATTATAAACATTTTTTTCGGGTTCGTTTTAATAAATCTGTTAACATATTAAAGAAGCATAATAATTTATTGTATTTACATATCTACTTACTTCCAATAACAAAACGCTTTACACGGGTCTATTTTCATATTTTCACAATTCTTAAAATATTTATTTTTGTAATAAGACCTTTGTTAAATTTTTGATCTCGAATGCCAACACCAAGTATATGAAATGCTTAACTAATATCTTTTGCCATAAGTACATATTGACAAGAAACACGTAGAACATTTTATTTGTCTCATATATTATTTACAAACTACCTATCTATCTAACTTAGTATTTAGAAGTGTTTGGAAATAGTGTTGCACGTCAATTATAGTCAAATTATCGACATGATATCGATACTATCCAGGCCTTGGACTACAAAGATACCTTTTTAAAATGCAACAGAAATATAAAATGTCAATGTTATCAGTCGAGTCGTTAACATAAATGTGGACAGATGTTCATTTAAAAGGAGAAATCACTAGAGTTTCTTACTCATTCTTATCGAGTTCTTAGATATTTGCGACAGTTACAGATTGGAAATGAAACTATTTTTTGAGCCGTGACCATGGGACTATGAAAGGCCCGAAACGTAGGTTCGTTTGAAAAAACGTATACGCAACTAAGATCCGGAAAATACTTAGAAGTAGTAGAGCTCCTTGTGAAAGAGTTCGTCTAGGGAAGTACTGCGACCCCCGACTGCCACCTTGTGGTGCGGAACGGACGTGCCCTTTTGGACGCGCTGACAGGGGACTGCACCCCTGAAAAAAGCAACAATGATGTGGAGTCATCGCAGACGGAGAAAAATGATGAAACACACTACTTTGAAAATGGATACCCAGGTGGGTCCCCGAAAGCGGGAATCACACCCGTCGGCGGACGGCACCTCTCGTACTCTGGTTGGCAGAAATAGTGTAAACACGACTCTGACCCGGCTTCAGAGGATGTCCTTCGAGGAACTCCGAGTGCAGGTTACCCGCCTGTCGAATTCGGAGATATCGGACTCGAGTCTCGAAACGGTAACGTCGCGGGATTCGCATGATATGTCATGATGGATGAGGATCTCAAATTCTGTAGGAATCATGAAGTTACGGTTAAAGAATACTGCCTCTGGCCCGAGGCTCTGTTGCCTACAATTCAGGGTCACGTGCTGGAAAGTGTCACTGGTGTTCCGGGGTACCTAGAACGAAGAATGGAGCGGCGTCGCCAACTCAAGTGGCGGGCCCGCAAGGGCAATCGAAAGCGGGGTTGCGGAAGTAAGCAACCGCGTTTCCCGGGACCCCGTGTCTGCGTCGTGAGGAACACCCCAGGGGTTTTAGTCGGTGATAGTCCGACATAACCACTCGCAAAACGCGGATAAGTAACAAAATATTTTTTTGAGATATCATAAAAACCATAACCGTTTTCAGAATGTTGAAATTGTTTAATGATATTTCAGCTATGCATCGTTAGGGTCAGATCCGATCAGTCGAACACGTTAACTAATTTTAACTGTTTTTAAAAGATAATTTTGTGCTCTTTTTAACCGACTTCGAAAAAAGAGGAGTTCTCAATTCGACTGTGTTTATTAACAGCAGGCACGCCACCTAGTATCATAAAAAATAGGACGATCTTATTATCCTTATATTTTAAATTTAAATAGTAACTTTATTTACATGACATAAACAATTATAATCTACAACCCAAAAACTCACGATTTAAAACACCCAGTAATAAAATCGATAGTCTTATCGATATTGAATACGCACGCAACACTATTTCGGAAATATATCTTCAAATTTAGCCGTATATTTATTTTTCTTATACACAGTAAGTTTTGTATTTCTTAACGTTTTTACAATTTAGTTACGACTTAGGTTAAGTTGGAATTTTCACATTTTAAATTACAATGTATCCATTTTGAGTAACTTTTGTCACATTTACTTATTTAAACAACCTCGCTGGAGTATATATCAAACATCGTAAAGAACAACTTTTGTTCCACGACTCACAAAACATAATAAATTTACCAAATCTTTTTGGTAAATTTCTCACAGATGGCGCTACGGCAAAAGTTTTAAAAAACCTAAACAAAGATCTTCAACAAACACATGGAAAAATTCGTGAGGTCCGTTGGTTCGTTCAGTGGCTTAGTTAGAATAGCGTTTGGCACGGTTCACTAGGAGACGTTAGTTCGAATCCTGCCGGAACAAAGTGAGTTTTTGCTAAGTTTCGATCTTTGTATTAATAATAACAAAGTAAGGCTCAACTCACACTGGCGCAGAGTCGAAGCGTCGCGTCGCGTCGCTTTGTTTTCAACTACAAAAAGGCGAAGGCGAAGGCAGCGAAGGCAGCGAAGGCGCGCGACGTCGCGATACTACGAATCCGGATTTGCATAACACACATTTGTACCTTAATAATGGGAAAATAGAGATGAATATGGTATAAGCGAAAATATGACGCATCGCGACCCTTCGACTCTGCGCCAGAGTGAGTTGAGCCTAATAGAGTGATTTCAAATGCAGTTGGTCATAACTAACGTGACCGCTATTTTTTACATTAATTTATTATTTTAAAAGTAAAACCATGTTTATGATACTTATTAAACATGTAATGATAAAAAAAAGAACTAAAATGTTTAACGATTAAAAATTCAATTATAAATAATCTGGTTTTATATATTTTTCACATTCGCGTCATTTAAAAAATAATAATGTGAGGTGTATCCTGGTTTGTCAAAGCGGGGCATTGTTAAGAGTTTTGGGGACAGCAGGAGCTTAAGCTTTTAAGCTTCGTTTAAAAGCGGGACTATCCCGGTAAATGCGGGATGTATGGTCACGTTAGTCATAACATAAAATTCTGGTCGATATTCAAAATTTGCCATTTACGAGGCTTAAAACTATAGTGAAACAAAAATTTTATTCTAAAGGTCATTATTATACAGCTTCTGCGTACTTGGATGACAAAAATCCGTGGTAGTGGTCTGCTTAACTTTTAGGTAGGTAGGTAAACTCGATCTAAGATGTGTTAACTAAATATTGTAAATAATAAATGTATTCAAATGTATATTTACAATGAGCAACCCCGAGAGTTTCTTGCTTATTCTTCTAGCAAACGCTGCTTGTTTCAATTTTGGTAAGTTACACATCGTCGGCTAAATTTGAAAATCTCAACTTCGTTTTTGAATAAAATCTCTTTTTTACTCTACAAGCGCAACATCGGGCATTTAAAGCTTATAATATAATTTGTAAACCCTTTTTTAGTTATAAACCAAAAGTATAATCATAGATTGTCTTATAATTTAATTGCTGTAGAGTTCCTTGTGAAAGAGGTCGTCCAGGGAAGTAATGCCACCTTTATTACTGCGTTTCAGTTTTAAAGGGTAAGGGGTTTATTTTTATTCAAATGTAAGTGTGCATTTGACCTCCATCTCACCTGACGGAAAGTGACGATAAGGTCGACGATGGAGCATGCACACCTAAATAATGCCTATTCACTCTCGCCGTGAAAAGGTCAAAGTTATAACGTTTAGGGAACAAGTCTGCTGGCAGGGAATTCCACTCCATAGCCGTTCGCCATATAAATGTGGAAGCCAAGCCGATGATGCAGGTAGAGATGGGCGCGGTTTTAGGTTTAAATTGGGTTAAACCCAAACGAGGGCAAAAACTGTTTACAACTAAATATTTGTTGTAAATAGAGTTTTGTTTAAATTGAATATTATTACAAAATGTTTATTGCTTTATTAGAAGATTCGATTTACCTTTCTATTCAATCGATTCGATTGAAAATCGCATTTAAATAAATCGATACCAAAAATCGTTAAATCGTATGCACTTGAATCGATCTTTATAAAAATCGAAATTACAGGCACACGGGACTTGTCAACTTATGGCTCAGGGTGATGGGCGCCCTGCAGAGTCCCTCAATTATTTGCGTCATGTTTTTCCCCTATAGTATATTCATCTATATTTTCCCATTATTAAGGTACAAATTTGTGTTATGTAAACATGGCAACGGAGTGGAATTTTTTAAGTCGTTAATAGCGTCTGGCACGGTAACCTATCACAAACTCGAATTTCTTTTCCGAAATAACGTTTGTTCGAATTTTCATTACACCGAAAACCGAATTATAACGAAGCCGTTGTTCTTTCAGGATATGTTGGATGTTTATCGCAAAGACACGATTAGGTTCGGTTAGGTTACATTAAGTTTAGTTTAAAAGAAACAACATTTTCCTCTCAAAATTACTTCAGAGTTTATGAAAATTCGAGCGAACGTTATAGCTGGAAAATGTCATTTCGGACTACTGATAACCGTCTGGCACGGTTCGCTAGATGACGACGGTTCCGGCCGGATCGATGTTCGATGTTATGATTATAGCTGCGGTGAGAAGGTTATTCAAAAATCTCTCACTAAATGTCAATAGTGGCGACGAATGCCGAAGATCTATAACAAAAACACATAGAAGAATTTCAACGACTCGGTAACTGGACCTGTGGTCAGAGCAATGCTACGGTGCAGCATGGTTGTGGATTCAGGTCCCACCGGTTCGACGAAATTTTTCTGTATTTGGATCTTTGTATCATAAAAAAAATAAAACTAGTAATTCTGTTTTTATGCCTATTCAATCGTACCTATCAATGGCGGTTACGAGATTTACGAATTTAACCGACGTTATTAGACAGTATTTATATGACTTACATATGGATTTTTTTTTAATTATCACCTTCTATCATAATTACACAACTCACACTTTTGTTACAAGTGTCACAACATCAATAACAAGTCCCATTACAATTGCAAATTGCAACAATTCATTCTGGGTTGTAATCTTCGTCGTTGCCATCGTTTGTTTTTTTCCTATTCGATTTCAAATGCACTGAGGTCTTATGCCTTTTCAGGTCGCTTCTCCTTTTTGTTACATAGGTACAAGTATCACATTTGAATATAGTAAATTTTTTACACATCTTGTAATGCTTCATCATCTCTTTTCTATTCGAAAAGCCGGCTTTACATTTCGTACACTTGACTCTTTTGACTTTCTTAATAAAATGCCTTAAAGGTACAACGTCTGCGAAGGGGTTTAAATTACCGTGATTTAAATTACTCCCCTCCTCGTGGCCCTTCAAATGGTACACCAAACTCATGTTGTGTCTAGCTTTATAATCGCACAAATGGCATTTGAATTTTTTGTCTTCTTTGTGCTTTTTCTTGTGGCGCATGAACTGAGCTTCGCTGGCGGTGGTGAATTTACAAATCTCACATATTTGAATAACCTTCGAATGTGCCAGTCTGTGACGTATGCTCTCCGCGTGACTGACAGTTTTGAATCCACACGTAAAGCAGTAATACTCTTGTAGTGTCCCCCAGAATATCTTGGTCAAATCTGAATTATCTTTGGGCACTAACTTGTTTAAGGGGAGGTCATCCTCATCCTCGTCGGACACCTCCACGGTGTCTATGTGCGGTTCTTCTATTATGACGTCATCGTCATCGGAAGACGTTAGGAGGGATATTGGGTTTTGCGATCTGGAAATAAGAATTATTCATTACATTAATTAGAAACTATAGAGACTAAAGAAACATTGAATCCCATTAATATTTGCACATCTGCTTGCAGGTTGAATACAATGTACCTAATTTTACTTAAGACCTTTGTAATTACTGTATTCTGGCAAATAAATGTATTCTTCTTCTTCTTCTAAAATTAATGCTCCAAAAAAAATTTACAAAGATTGATTAACATATATTATGTTCTTATTATATGATACAGTATAAGCCCTTATAACAAAGAGGGGCAGAGAGTATTTATTTTTTATATATAAAAAATTGTTTTATAAATAAAACCAATCTATAAAACTTAAACTACCATAACCGTTGTCATGTTGACCTCTAGAATCAACAAATGGATTATCTGTCAAGTATACAGTAGCCGTCACCATGTTGATTAATAGATTTATCATCGTTTATTAATGGATTATCTATTGTCTACTCACTTGTCTTCCGCCGGCGAGGGTGGTCCACTCTCACGACTGTCGAGGAGCAGCGTTGGGTCGATGGCAACTTGGACATTTTCCAACAGCATCAGGCAGTCGTTGTTCGGACTGCCCGGAGCTCCTTCTCGACTTGCTTCTATAGAAACAATAACCTATGTGAAATATACCTACAGGACTGCAAAATCGAGAAGTGAAAGTACCTTAAATCGAGAAGTGAAAGTACCTTAAATGCGATTTAACTAATTTTACTTAAAGCAAATTTTTTCTTAATATGAATTCAAAGTTTTTTTGAAAAAGTAAAATAATCTCTAGAAAATTAGGAAATGAAACTATTTTTTTCGGATTTAAATCGCGTATATTTGTTTTTTCAAACAAACCGACGTTTCACAACAAACAGTATTTCCTCTAATGAAAAATCCCAAACAGACATAAGACTGCAGTACTAATTGATATGTTTTAGTTTATTCTAATTTCTATTAATAATTAATAATAAACTAAACTTAATAAAAATTCATTCAATAAAATAATTTGTAAAACTTAATGTAGCGTAAATTGGAATGTTTTCTTTGTAAAATTAGAAATAAGGTATTTAATTAATCACTATTGTAACTATAGTGAAAAAATAGGGTGGTTTCATTGACTTACAAATGAATGGACGACGGGTCTAATACAAAAACCACGAAAAAATGTCCCAAGTCAACCTATTTAAACGTAGTGACATGTAAAGGAATATGAAAAAGCTAAAACGTTGAATTTAAATTGTAATGTCATCGCAGTACTGTCTAATTTTGCTTGCTTCGCTGTCAGTCGAACAAACGAAGACTAAAGCGTGAATGACGCTCTGTATACGATTTTAACGCCCTATAAGTTCGGACACTTTTAGCGCGGACCCGACGTCCATATAATTGTAAGTCAATGGGTGGTTTGCATTAATATTAGACATAACTGGTTGAAGACTGTACCACCTCAGTCAACCGTGACCATGGGACCTGTAAAGGGCCCGAAACGTCGGTTTGTTTGAAAAAACAAATATACGCGATTCAAATCCGGAAAAATAGTTTCATTTCCTATGAGTAACAATCGCGAAAACCTAAGAACTCTAGAAAATTTTTATTGAATTGATATTCAATTATTTTTTGTGAAATTACTTCACTAGTTTGTTATAATTATTAATACAAAATCGCGTTACATACACACAAGAAAAAAATACAGTCGAATTGAGAACCCCCTTTTTTGCAGTCGGTTAAAAACATGAACTCACCTCCTCCAACTGAAATTTCAACAAAATGCGGTTCCTTTACATCTCCAATAGGTGGTTGAAATTCAACTTCCACAACTTCATATTCTATCTGTCTCGCGATATCATTTGTACCACCATCAATTGATTTAATAACATTATTTTGGTTTTTATTGCCACTAACGTGGTTTTTACCATTTGCATCTGAATTCCCGTCATTACGTACGCAAACAACAAAGTCTTGTTGGTTTTCATGGCCACCGTCGTGGGTTTTATCACCGCTACTTCGATTCTTACTATCAATAATTAGGTTATCCCGGTTTTTATTGCCACTAATATGATTGTCATTAACTTGGCTAATTTCTATCTCAACTTTGTTAATGTCTTGATTCTCATCTATAGATGCTTTGAGGCGTTCAGCAAGTTTTTTGTCCTGTTTAATATGATAATTTGCTATAATATCTTCAATGTCTTCTTTATGTAGCTCAGTGTCAGATACATCACTATCTTGATGTAATATTGCTTCTGGTACACTGTGGGTAAAGCATAATTTTTACTGTTGACTTTAGAATGTGACGTTGTTAGTGTAGTGTGCAACTTACGATTTTGATGAGACTACAACAACTTATGATTTTAATAAGGATGTAGCAAACGAGGTAGTTGCACCCGTACTGTGTGACCGGGCTGCCAGGGCTGTGACGAGCAGTTTTAGTCGAGTCACTGCCATGAACGCTCATGATTAGGGACGGCAGACTGTTTCGAAACAGGGTTGTAGTTGATGCGGATTGTTTAACACATCAGCAGATTTTATGCATTTAAAAATGTACATTCTTACTGAATCTATCTACTCGAAAAAGCTTTAAATTTTCTTTGGTATTGTAATAGAATATTATTTCAATGATTAGCCTAGTTTCATCGTTGTGGAATTTTATCAAAATTATATGTATGTATTTTAAAAACGCCATCGAGTTGCTTTTTCGGCTTACAGTTTGCTTCTTGAAGGTTTGAAAATTATTCCAACATTTTTTTCTTTTTATGTCAAGTGACGGGACGAACAAGCCATGCGCCTGATGGTAAGCTACACGCCTGTAAATTCACCAGCATCCTTAACCTTCAAAACCGGAACACAGTAATGCTGTAATGTCAGCATTACTGTGTTTGGCGTCAGAAATAGGAAAGGTGGCAGTACTCTACAGCGTGCCACGCCATGTCACGACTCCAACATCCGCAATTAATGTCAGCATCGAAGATGCGTATGCGGATATTCGCAACAACCCTATTTCGAAACATGTTGAGTTGTTACGGCTCACAGGTTACTCAGAACCAAATGGTCGGTTAAGGGATCTGGACCCCGATTCAGAACTCTTCGATATCTTAACCGAAACGTTCGATTGCATATCGTTCTCGAATCGAAAGGCGCTTTCCGATATCGTTATCCAACAACGTTTACGGAGTTAGTCGGCGAATATAGATTATAAGAAAAATGAAATTCTTTTTCGGCGTCGATTTCGTGCGCCATGTAAGCCGAGTTGCAAGCACTAACGATGCGAGCAGTTTCTTTCTTTGTTAGTTTTACCTGCCTAGCACATTCTCTGAGGAAATAGGGGGAGGCGAACTAGACACTCACGCTCCATCACATATACTTACACAGACCTATACACGACAATTGATATCAGTAATTTACAGTTAGTTATGAACTCAGTTTTTATTGTACCTATTTAAATTAATTTTTCTACCCAATGTTATAAAAATAATATCACATATTTTGTATACATAGTGAGTTTCTGTAATTGACTTTTTTACTGCTTAAACACATTTGTCAAATAAGTTTAAGAATGCTGTTGAAACTTTGTTCATTGAATAAAATAAAAAATAAAATATATATTTTTAAGACTTTAAAGGTCTAAAATATAGGAATGCATTAGTCTCCCATTAAAATAAATTAATAAAATTGAACAAAATCCAGATTTTATTTAAAATAATAAAAGATTTCCATATTACATTCTTGCTTTGTAAACAATAGGGCGTTCGGTAACTTTCATTCGATAACAGTGTTCTGAAAACGTAAGTAACCTTTGCCGGTCGAGAAGTTCGGTTATTGTGAATAAAAATAAATCGCACGATATCTAATCGAATCGGTCGACAACAGAGTTATCGTATGGTTCTGAATCTACCTGCAGGTAACATAAT